AAGACGTGCTTCTCTATGTAAACATAACATTTCTCATAGAAGGCGGCCTTTCTTCTCGACATGGAGAGCCGATAAGCTTTTCTAGCATCTTTGAAGTCTGAAAGCTCAACTCTTGAGAGGTCCCTCGAGAGGTCCTGATAACTCTATGGTAAACACGGATTTGGGGTATCATAGGAAGAGTTGGGTCATCCCCTGCTGGTATTCATGGTTCTTCCTCAACTTTTTAGGTTGACTATTCTTCAACTTTCCGCTTCCCTGATAGCTAGTCGAAGAGTTTGGATCAGGAAGTCTATTTTTCATCAAACACTTCCGTGAACCAAATGATCTATGGAAAAGCTTCACTATGTGGTTCTAAAATACCATTGTTTTTTGTCTCCAGAACAGAAAATCTATATATTCTAATATATAGATGTATGAAGAAGGAACTCGGGAAGATAAATTTATACATACAAAAAATTGTGACTTTTAAAATAGGAAAGATTTCAACTCATATATTCTAAAAGGATACTTCTTACTAACATATAATCTCAAAATTCCCTATATATTAATTGAGAAGCAATCTATACTATTATTTAAGAAGTAAATTTGCTGATTTGTCGATTTTTCCCTGATTTTAGGTAATGTTTCTTATTTGTCATATTTTAATATTTATATATAGTTTAATATATAATTTATTTATAATTAAAACGAATTTATATTAATAATATCATATTTTTAGAAAATAAGATAATTCTTGAGTATTATGTTGCTATCTTGAAAATATATTTGCTGAGTTATCAACTTTTCCATGATTTTAGGTAATTTTTCTTATTTTCATAATTTAATATTTATATATATTTTTATATATAATTTATTTATAATTAAAACGAATTTATATTAATAATATCATATTTTTAGAAAATAAGATAATTCTTACTTATTATGTTGCTAACTTGAAAATATATTTGCCGATTTATCAACTTTTCCATGATTTTAAGTAATTTTTATTATTTGTCATATTTTAATATTTATATATAATTTTTTATAATTAAAACGAATTTATATTAATAATACCAAATTTCTAGAAAATAAGATAATTCTTGAGTATTGTGTTGTTATCTTCAAAATATATTATCTACTATAAAAATAAATTTTAAACTCAGATATAAAAATTATTATATTTATTATATAATTAAAACGGATTTATATTAATAATATTATATTTAAAAAAATAAGATAACTCTTATGTATTATATTTTTATCTTGAAAATATATTTTCCTATTATAAAACTCAAACCTAAAATAGAAAATTATATATTATTAATTAAATATAAATCATCAAAAAAAATATTTGAAAGGCAAAATTACTAATTTGCCAACTTCTCCAGGATTTTAGATAATTTTGATCTATCATAATTTCTCTAATTTTATTTATTTGTGATGTTTTTAATATTTGAGATATAATTTATTATATAATTAAAATAATTTATCATTAATAATAGAACATTATTATAAATACGATCATTAAATTTATCTTTCAAAATTTTCTATTATTAAAATTTTAAATTAACATAGTAAAGTTAGAATTAAATATAAATCAAGCCTATGTATTAGAGTTATGTTCTCCATGGTCTTTGGCTGAATCATTAATTTTAATAAATCATTTTAATTATATTTGATTAAAGTTTTGATATCAATAGTAAATCATTATATAATTCATTATTTAATTGTTTATAAATTAATATTATAAAAATTATCTCAAGAAAATGAAAAACGTGTTTGGAAAAAAGAGAAGATAGTTCTCCTATTTATTTTGTGTTTAGTTACATCTTTTTTTTTCTTGTTTGTTAATTTTTATAATTATTAGTATATATACACATATAAGATTTATATTTACACTAAAATATGAAAATATTTTAATAGAAAAGAAAAAAGGATTTATATTTGTTTGTAAACTTAATATGTCATGGCATATTTTTAAAATAATTATTTTTTTTTTACAATAAAAAATACCAAAAAGAGTAATATATGCAATAACAATAAATTTGATTTATATTTTTTTGTTAATGTGATGTTTGGGGTATTTTCACTTTTATTCTTATATTTCAATTGCAAGAATACCATTTAGTTGATATTTAAGTTGAAAGCTTCAAAAAAATATTTTTTTTTTGAAATATTTTTTGCTGGGAATTAAATTATCCTTTTAAAGTATTTTCAAATTATCTTCTTCCATAAGAGAATACTTTCAAAATATTGATTTTTTATTTACAAAAAGTTTCTTATATTTTAAAAATATAATTATTATATTTATAAAATATAATTATTTTAACTCTGATTACTTTTATTTTTGAAAATGTTTCACAGAATTATAAATTTGTTCAAATTAAAATTTCTGTAAAGACTATTATGTAAAGAAAGTTTGCTCTACTTTTTTTAGTTATAAAAACTGTATTTTTTAAAATGATTTTTTTCTTATAGTTATTAAAGTTTGAAATTTTAAAAACCATTTGAAAATAACAAATTATGATTTTATAATAAAGAAATAATATTTTATAGGAAAATAACTACCTCCATTTTAAAGTAAAATTATAGATTGGCTAGCTTGTTTAATATATTACAGCATTTAGAAATGAAAATAACAATAGAGAAGAAATGTTTTTGTCATATACATTATACATTAATGTTTTGTTTGTCAATGTAGTCGGTATGTTTGAGTGTTTATTCAGTTATTATAGGAGGATCATACATGTATCAATAGTTTTATTTATTGTGATTAATATAATATGTTAAGTTGAGTTTGTCTAACATTCTTCTGTTTTTTATTTACTTTTAGATATTGTAGGATTTGCTAATTATAAGAATTTGGTTTAATAACATCATCTTATATTAACAATTATATATATTTGTTTATATAATTAGATAAATATATATAAAATAATATAATAAAAAGTGGTTGAAAATAACAAGGCATTTTAAAATTAAAAAAATATTAAAGTTTCAACCAATAAAATTAAAATTTTAAAAATAAAAGATAAATTATATAAAATTTAATGTTCTTTTTTAATTTAATCTAATAGTAAATTTATTAATCGATATCTATAAAATAATTAAGCCCGCATGTGCGGGCCAAACACCTAGTACAACATGTTTTGGTAGTCACGTGTCATCATGAGAACGCTTCTCAAATTTATTAGAAAAAATGTTGGTACAAATATATAATATATTTTTTATTAAACAAAACATAAAACTATTATTAATTTTATTCATTATCTCCTTAAATAAAATTTATGTAACTACCTAATATGGTTATAATATATATATATGTGACAATTAATGATTCGAATATAAAGATTTGATTAAAAAAATTTATAGAGTCTACTATTTTTGTTAAACTAATATTGTGAAAATAAATTAAATAATAACATTAACTATATCACAAAAAATATATTTTTTTATATATGTTATATTTTGAATTTTTAAAAAGGATTATAAATTAATAAAATATTTAAAATTTTCACTTATTATATTTTGATTAGTAGTTTAAATCCCATATATATTAATCCTGAAGCATTACAACATTTTTTTTGTAACCACGTGTCAATCTAAGAATGATTTTCATAACTCTTAGAGAAATATATTGGTCCAACTAAACATCTGTTATAATTTTATTATACTAACTATCATATTTAATTAGTAGTGTACAAAAGTATATTTCATATTTTTTTCCCTAGATAAAATCTATGGAATTACCTAATATGATTAACATATATATCACAATTAATTTTTATGAATAACAAAGATTTCATAACAATTTTTTATCCTCTTTACTTTTATTTAATTTTATACTATTAAAAGAAATTAAACAATCACATTAATCATATAATAAAAATTAAATTTTTTCTTATATGTTATATTTTTAAATTTTTAAAACGATCCAAAATTACTAAAAATGGTAAAAATCTCACATTGAAAATTTTGTGATCAATGGTAACATTTTTTAGTTCACCCAATCGTTTTCTTAATGGGTTTTAAACAGTTTATATTGATTAAATATACACTCAAAATATACAAAATAGAGTATGTTTTGTTTAAAAAATATTGCATGCCCAAAATCTATATTAACAATCATCCCTTTCGTTTAAATTTTTGTTAGAATAAAAATATATGGTTGAGCAAAAAAAAAACTGAATCCAGAAAACCAAACCAAATTTAATCTAAAAAGTAGTACAAAATTTTAACCAAAATTGGTTAGATATCCATACGGATTCGAAATTTTGGTATCTAGAAAACCAAAATTGAATCGAAATATATTAGATATCCGAGTGTACTCGAACCAGATTTATATACTTAAATATATTAATTATTTTTAAATTTAACATCTAAGAATATACAAAATACATGAGATTTTCAAAAAAAATCCAAAGTACTTAGAAATATATGAAATAGTTAAATCTACATTTTTAAAATACCAAAAATATTTGAAATATTTATTAATTTTATGTCCAAATATTTAAGATAAACTAATTTAATGTTAAGTTTATGTATTTTGGCATTCATTTTTCTAATTTATATGTAATATATTATTTTTACTTTTAGATTTGAAAAATTTAAAGTATATATGAATTTTAAACTTAAAAAAAATAAAATAAATGGGTTATCTGAACCTGCAAAGTTTCGACCCAAACCGCAAAGATCTAAAACAAACATAATCTAACCGAACTAAATGGTACCCAAATGCTCATCCCTAATCAAATGTAAAAAAAAATTATTGATAGTAAAATATATATTTGAATACAACATATTTTTTTAATATCTCACTCTATGTATGGCGCGGATTATCATCTAGTGTATAACATAAAGCTCACAGTTGCTTAAATATACACTCATATTGAAAATTAAGGAAAATGGCGGTATTCGAATTTTCTTCCTTGAGACGTAAGTTAAAAATTAACACTATGAAGGTTATTACTGAAATAAGTACCATGGATCAAATCAACTAAAGAAATGGTTAGTTATAGACTTGCAGTCAACAAATAAAATAGCACACTGGTATCATTATTAGATATGACATTATTGGTAAATAAAAATGTAGATATGTTTCTGTAGATTAAGGTCATAGTATTATCTCCTATGACTTGTATTGTATGCACATCCACACTGCTGTCTACAGGACAGAAGACAAGTTCTCAATCAAAAACAAAACCAAGTATATGCCATGCCACGCAATTGGAATATTATTGACAGCACAAAAAAAAAACATTTTCAAAAATCAAAAGCCAATGTCGGACACTAAATCGCCAAGTAAAAGCCCACCCAACGCTCCTCCCAAAAGCCCAGCTCCCATTCCAAGCCCAACCCCTGGTTTATTATTCTTCTGCGGCGTTTGCGTCGGTGGATGACCACGTCCGTATCCCGGCGGCGGGTAACCGTACCCATGCTGAGTCTGTGGTGACGGTGCATATCCGTGAAACGACTGTGACGGTCGCATTTGGTGCAACGTGTGAACCGGCTGCGCATACCCGTGAAAGGACTGTGACGGTTGCGTTTGGTGGTACGAGTGTCCCGGTTTATCTGGCGGCGGCGGCGGCGCATAGCCGTGGAACGAATGTGACGGTTGCATTTGTTGGTACGAGTGAACCGGTTTATCAGGAGGCGGCGGATACACATTCGAATGTTGCGGCGGAGAAACACCGTAAGACGGCGGTGGATACACATTGTAATGATTTTGCGGAGGAGCACCGTGAGACGGCGGAGGATAGAGATTCGATGCGGAGGAAGACGGTGGATAATGCGAGGCGGAGGGAGACGGTGGATAAGCGTTAACCGGCTGTTCCGGGTAATGAGAAGTGTACGGGTGTGGAAACGGCGGTGCCGGATATCCTTGCGGCTGAGAAGACGGAGGATATCCAATTGACGATAGTGGTGGATAGAGACCTGGTTCAGTCGCCGGAGGATAGCTCGCCGGTGGCGATATATCAACTGGATTCGATTGAACCGGATCCGGTTTAAAAGAAGGCATATCGAACCGGTACGAGAAAGTCAAGGAGCCTTGACCTTTTCTACACGGAGTTCTCACCTGATACGTTACAAATCTCATCCCTTGTACGTTTCCGTTACCACCATCGCCGTTAAATGACGGCGATGTATTGAGAAGCTCAAGAATCGGGACTTGGACTTCTCCGAGATCTTTACCACCAAACATCCGATCGCAGACCAGTTTCACGACGAGAGTCAGACGGCCTTCCCAGGCTAGCCTTTGATCAACGGAAAATTTGACGGCGTGATTCCATGTATGCTCAGATCCTCCGGTTCTGTCGACGGGTGTTTTTTCCTTGTGGTTCTTTTGTGAATCATCGCCGTCTATCGAAACGACGGCGTATACGTCCATCTTGGTGATGAGATTGACATTTTCAAGATCTTTTGCAGAGTAGATGTTGAGCTCTAAGGTCAGATTTGCCATGGTGGAGAAAGAGAAGAGAAAGGAGATTTGTTTTCGTCTAAAATGGGAGGTAGTGATGGATAAATATATCTAACGCGTAAAATATTAAGTAACGGGAAGATTCAAATCTATTATAATCGGTTTATTACATGACAGTTGTGTATCTAGTGGACAGTAGAAGATTCTTCTCCTTATAAAGAAATCAATCTAAGCCGTTGATTTTCATTACGTCTTTCGACACGTATCAGTTGGATTAGATACTTTTCGCATCAAACTTCAGTATTTTTTTGGGCAAAACACTTCAGTTTATTGCATTGCTTTCTAATATCACAACAAGACTTGACCGATTGAACGAAATATTTCCTGACGCGGATTCAGTGTCCACCATTAATGTTAATGATATAACTTAAAGCTTAAGTTTTGCAAGTCTAAAAGCGTTTTGGGCTCCACGACTGGAGTAGATGAGTCAACGCCGTATGAGACAAACCACAAGGCTGATTCGGTCGCATTTTGGAAGGCCATGACTTATATTCGTAACATGTTTTTTGCCGGTCAAAACCGTCCGGTGGCATTTAACGAAAAACGTTAATTCGTAGTAATATTTACATTAGAAAAAAAAATATTAGGTATCAAGAAAAATAATCTATTAATAGGGTAGTATACATTTACTACCAAAGAAAATGAAAATAATAAATATTTGGAAACCACAGAGCATGGATACCTGTTAGTAGGGTAATATACAGCATGAATGAACCTTATAGAATGGCAAAATAATCGTTGTTAAGAAGACTAATAGAAGATCAAAGGAATCCAACCATGGATAGGGGACCTTAAATAAGGAGAAAGCTGGCTTGAGATTGAAAATAAAACATGACTATCAAGCTTTATCCGAATAACATCCATGCAGAGTGACCTCCAAGTTTTATTTTGAAGTCTCACCACCTATTGGCCAAGGGGAAACAAAGAGAGGTTACAAAATACAAAATACACACTAAAACCGGGGAAATGAGTTTTTAATTCCTGAAGTATATGCAATTAGCACTTTTAATGCTCAACTACAACTTATGCAAATTTAATCCCAAATTCCTTGTTGACTATGCAAAATTAGACTTTAAAAAGTCAAAACGTTAAATTGTCGTTTGTGGCGTTAACTCTTTATTCAAAAAGGGATAGTGTTTGGTTTTCAAAACCTACAAATTTCTAAAATTAATTCTGAGAGCGATTTGAAAAAAACTGAAGGCAATTCTCGGTGAATAAAGACTGTTTCCAGTGAATATATTCAATTTCCGGCGACTGAGGATGAAAAACATGATTTCTTGTTCAGATAGAGAAAAATCTCATATATGTGTTATGAGAAGATGAGACAATGTAATAGAGTTAGTAGATTTTTTTTTTAATTGTGGTTTGCAGGTAACAATTTAATAGAGTTAGAATGTGATTTACTGCAGCCAAGTAAAAAACGAAGTTATCTTCTCATGATTGAGATTTACCGCAGACGTCTTCATAGAGTGGAAACGTTCTCATGATTAAGAACAAAATATTGCAACTAAGAACGCAGGGCCTTTCTCAGGCAAAGCCATGGAGTATTAATTCACTGCGAGACAGTAATCAAATACTCTGTTAGAGCTCTGTTTTTTTATACGTGGGAAGGCTAATCTTCACCATCGTCTCACAGGAGATAGCATGGCTGCTTCTTCTTTTTTTAATTAGGGTTTATGTGTTTTCAAAAACCACACATAATTTTTTTTTGATTAAAGTTAACGTTTCTAACAGAGAACTAACGTTTGATTTTTCTAAATCTAATTTTGCATAGAAAATTAACAGTCTAGGATTAAATCTGCTCAACTTATAATTGGGTATTAAAAGTGCTAATTATATATACTTCAGGAATTAATAACCCATTTTCCCCACTAAAACCGCCTCTACGAATATCCAAGAATTACAAAATACTATTAGGCCTTTGTTATTATGGGCTTTCAATCTCTTTTTGGGCTTTAATATTCCATTTGTTTAATAGAGAGGCATTATCTCACATACAAAAGCTCTTTTCCATTAAGCGGTTACAATGGTGCCTTATATACAGAAAGTCACTGACTTTGAACCAGAAATCAAGGTAGACCAGGAAAAATAACTTTGGATTATGTACACTTCGATTTGCAATCATAGATAGTCTATGATAGATGTGATTTGGATCACCCTCTGTTTCAATGTCGCTGCACACACATTAGCATCAAAAGAGCCTCAAAACAACTTTTTATATATTCATCTGCATTTATCTCCAGTGTATATTTTATTTTATTTTATTTATTTATTTTTTTTTTTTTTTGAAAGAATTTTAAATTGCATTCCAAAAAAACAGTATTTACATCAAGATGCTACCATTACAAAAGACCAAAATTTAAAAAAGAGAAATAGACTTCTTCAAATAAACAAACCCAAACCACCTAACATCACAGCCCCCCCCCCTCAAGCTTGACCATGTGAAACAAGTCAAGCTTGGGATGATCATGAGATGATCCTCATTAAAACCTCACTAAAGAAAACCCAAATTGGGACAAAACCTTAGTGAGGAAAAAGAGTAATCCTCTCATAATCAGGAGAGAGCAAGATGAAAACCAGCAACAAACCACAACCCCACTAATACCAGCAGTATCTCCAACCTCCGGACAAGGACCAAATAACCGCAACATCAGCCTTAAGTCCATCACACAAGACCAAACCAAACCTCCATTGCTTTCTCATATTTATTTCCTTTACCCCTCTTCAACGATGTAATCCTGTTCCTAACAAGTTTATCCAAACGAGCAATGAGATAAGAAGTAGAGTGTTGAGTACCCACTCTTCTCGTGTTTCTCTCATGCCACAGCACATAAGCAACAGCTTGAAAACAGTATCTCATGAGGAAAGAAACAACCTTATCTTGAGATCCTTCCACCACACATTGAACTACCGTAGGCCAATCGTGCACCCTCCTATGGCCCAAAAGATATCTCCAGTGTATATTACAATAGAAGATTCCATTTCCATGCAAGAAGTACACACTCCAGACTCAATGTTTCAAAAAATGGAAACGCGTGAATCGGTTATCGGTGAGAAGTGAGAACATATACTTTTAGTCACACGTCATATAAACAAATTGCAAAGAAAAAACTTGAACAAAATCCAAATAAAAGCTCAATTCCCGGTACGTGTGGGGTCCAAATCCTCTGTAAAATCATTTCTATTTTCATAAACTTCTGTTTGGTGGCGGCGTGGCGTTGCGCATGATATTGTTTCTCTAATTTCCAATTTGATGAAAATCACAAATTACAAATGGAGTACCACTAACTAACACAGTAAATCTATGGAAGGAAACCACTCATAATTGTCAAAACTAAAACTAAATGCGCTCTTTTTTTATCAAACTAAATGCGCTCTATACTATTCTTACCTACCCTTACATTCAGTTTTGAATAAAAAAGGTTTTAGAATGTTATGCCATATAATGGCAAAAGCCAAAAAAAAAAAAAACATAGTCATTTTGTTGTATAAAAAAACAATAGCCGTTTTAATTCTGATTATGATTAGATTTAGAACGTAATAAAATTAACCATAAGAACCGTAAAGTGATCAAGCAAATTTAGTACTAAAAAAAATAAAGAGTGGTCTGATGTCTCCATCAAAAAAAAACTTAGCGCATTAAACATACTTTGATCTGAAGCTAACTTAGATACCCCACTTGTAATAAAAGCTGTACATCTAACATCACAGACCTATAAAGTCAAGTGGTCCTATTGTAATAATTTACATCTTTCAGTGGCAATTCCATAAGCAACTTCTCTTTTAATCAAACCTTTCCTCTGTCTCTCCTTTTCTCTTTCTTCAAAGTTCGTGCACAGAAAACAATGAGAGGACTCTCCAGAAACTCCGGCACGGCGGCGATTTTCGCGATCTTTGTAATCCTAGCCGTCCAGTACTGGTCCGTAGCCGCCGTCTCTCCTCAGTCCCTCGACTTCCCTCCGTTCGAGACAGAGTGCCGCGGCACCATCGCTGAGTGCTCCGTCTCCGCCGCGCTTGAGGACGAAAGAGATCTCTTCTACGGCGGAGGGATGGGAGCTGAGTTCGAGATGGACTCGGAGATCAACCGGCGCATGTTAGTCAACAGGAGGTACATCAGCTACGGTGCGCTGAGGAGAAACACTGTTCCATGCTCAAGACGCGGCGCGTCTTACTACAACTGCCGACGTGGCGCTCAGGCAAACCCTTACTCTCGCGGCTGCAGCGCCATCACCCGATGTCGGCGATAAATATGTAATTTGTAATTTCCTCGGAGTTCCATTTATATATGATTTGTCCGAATTTTCGTAGTTCATTGCTATTTCATACACATTTTATAAACTATATATGTAAATTTATCTGGGAATAATCTGTATTGTCGATATGTAAGAGTTTGTTACATAAAAAAAAAAAAGAGTTTGATACATAAACCCGGAAAATAAAATATGGAATAAATGAGATAATTACATTGGAGTGAGTTTTTAGGTCTAGTGGTTTCTATACATCATTTTAGCATTAAAAATGAGATAATTACATTGTAATCAATAGTATCAACCGTGATAAAACGAATGTGTTGAGCTAGAAATATAGTTAATTGGAATATTGATAGGCAGGTAATGCGTATTATTTAATGAAATATTGTATTATATGCAACATGCATGTGCTAAAGAAATATTTATGTATAAATATTGATGAAGAATAAAAGGGACGATTTTGATAAAAAATAAAAAAATAAAAAAAAATAAAAAAATAAAAGGGACGATAATATGATTTGGTTGGGAGCCAGCTAAAGCCAGCTTCACTTGTATCCCTTTCGGCAAAGCCGCAGAGTCACACACGTAACTTATAATAACTTTTGTTTTGTGCACACATCAGAAAATAAATATAGTTAATCTATTATAGTCCAAATAAAATATATAATGAATTTACTATTGTGAAAACTTGTTGTCACTTGTCACGAGAACTCCAACGTTTAAACACATGAGTTTTGACCAAATAGATAACAAAAGAGAAAAAAAAAAAAAAAAAAAAAAGAGAGAAAACCAAACACATCAGCTCTTCGTGATTAACGGGATTGACCATTACTAGAAAAAAAAACTCGTTGAAGGGAAGGAATTGTGTGACCTGAACAGCCAAGGCCAAGAGCAAGCAGAAGTGTCTTTTTCAAATTTAGGTTAGTCCAATTATAGAATAGTTGGTTTACAATAATTCAAAAGGATTCATATGCGCAAGGACCCATCTGAAACATTAAATATCGAACCAACAATTCAATTAAATACATTTTCAATTTATTGCTCTTCAAATCGAACGGGTCTTATTTTTCCTCTTGTCACATTTTCACCAAAATATACATGCAGAAAAAAATGAATAACGTAAAGGCAATTCGGACCACATCTCTCTCCCATCCCTCATGGACAGCCCAGAGGCAAACAAAACTCATCACCGATTTGTGATACTTATTATATATTCGAATTATTATGTTCATATTGATCCAATAATGAAACTTAAATATAATACTATGTGGAAATTAGAAAGTCTCTATCCTGTGCATACAAAACAAGAAACGACAACTACATCTTCCACGTCCTTGTCACGCGGACTTTGCTTTCCCATATCCTTAATACAAGTTCTCTGTACAAGTAGCATTTTATTTTCATAAATAGTTCATTTTAGATAGTTTCGAATGGTGTTGTTAAAAAAAAAAGAGATAGTTTCGAATGGTTACATCAAATTCAGTAGCTGGCATTGATTTAATTGGGATTAAGCAACAACTCTTCTGGACCCACTAACTAAGACCTCTCTGAGCTTTCTCTAAGGATGGACTCCGACCAGCTTAGCATAGGCCAATATCTCCGGTTATATGTTAGAACAGTGATTTTGTCTACGATAAACAGAGCCGGGTGATGTCTTGCATTATTGCATTGTTTTATCTACTCTTTTGCATACCTTTTCATCATGTAGGTTAGGTTCTAGCCATGTTTAGGTTGCATTTTGCATACATGAGTCCCCTTTAGGTATTGGAGTTTCACATGGAAGCTTTGGAGACATTTGGGGTTCATTAGAGGCTCAAAAGAAGCAAAAGGAGTGATCTAGACCCGG